GTGTTGTGCCTTGGCCAGTGGGTGGTGAGAAACTGTATCATATTTTATCATGGTTTATTTCCTATTATTTTAATTGCTTGTTGTTAATAGTATTTGTATATATTAGATTCAATTAGTAAATAGTTCTTATCTCAATTTTACGAGCTTCCTTATTTCTTTTCCCTCCGATTCTCCCCCTCCACTGGAGGAGGGAAGGGGGATTTGTGAGAGCGGCTTCATGGTACTTTGCTAGCCGAAGTTAAACCACGACATCCATTCATGTAATGAACCATGTACTTTTCTCATTGATTAAACATTTCTGCTTGCTTCTGATCTATGAATGGAAAAGGCACTTCCCAGTTTTCTTGCACCTGCATGCTGTGCAATACCGCATGCTAGCACTAACTGCAATCCTTTCAACCGTTGGACTTATTTTACTTCACACCCAAGATTAAGAAAGCACAGTTGTGTCCCTTTATAGCTCAAAAAAAAGCTCTCAAAGTTTTAAGATAAAGCATGACTGCTCTGCATGTTTTACATTATTATGTGTGTTATTATTAAATGTTAAGTAAATGTGTTATTATTAGTTAGTAACTGAATGTGTTAAGCTTTATGCCCTCTCCACATCTCCAAAACGCACTGCAAACTATCAATAGGCTAGTGTCTAAATTACCGTATCTGAACTCATCCCTTCAACCGTCCTTAGGGAGACTGTGCACACCTGTGCTCCCATTGGAAATTAAAACTGTATCTTAGCACAATCCAAGGAGAAAGTAGCATGTCTGTCTGACACAGGGGACCTTTTACGAGCTAATATCTATAAATGTCTTAGATTTTAAAACCAGAAAATATTTTCTTCCATTGAGGATTCTTCCTGCCCCAGTATCAGTGCATTACAAAGTTTTAAGTTGAAAAAATAGATATATTGCTTGGAACTAAACTGCTTTAACCAGTCACCTAGAGATGCTTTGAAATTAATCAGGCCTATTTGGAAAAAAAAAAAAAAGACAATCAGAGGATATTGAAGGTTTAAATATGGAAAAGCCTTTCACTTCAGTTGTTAGTATTTGTGATGCAGCCACTATTTAACATATGGACCTTCAGCTCAAATAAGTCATTAATTTCACTGCAGAAATGCTGCTGATGCATCTTCCAGTCAAATACAATGTTAACTTGTTCCTTTGCCATTAGAGTGAGCAATTAAACATTTCACTCCTGACTGATTCTTTGGCTTAAGAGTCATACCTAGAAACTGAAATCTGCTTGCTCCAACAAAATACACTTCTCTGTAGAACCAGAAAACATTTAATTTCATTAGTCAAAGGCACTCCCAGCTAGGGCAAAAGGGAAAAAAAAAATAGCCTGAAGCATTCAAATAATTGATGTGCCTTACTGAGATACCTGAGTAATAAGGTATGCTCACCAAAAAGAACTACACTAATTATTTCCCTAAATCCTCAGGCATTACTTTTTTTGCCATTACAAACTTCAGGTACTCACAACATATGATCTGTAAGCTGCTGCAAATAACACTGAAATAGATGTTAATGACCTACCTCATACAAGACAGATTGATCCCCAAAGTAATTCCAGTTTTCCAAATTCTAGCATAATTCAAGAGACTGAAGGATCTCAGTAAATTTCAGGGAAGGCAGATTACCTACGTAGCCACTAGAGTATTTCCTACACTCTGTGATAATTAATTCCAGGTTTAGAGATTAAAGCAGCCCTAAAAAGTTTCCTAAGAAAAATCAAAGCAAAGATCCCATTTGCAGTCTCCTAGAAGACCTGGAAATAGGCACAACTGAACAGCTGCAAGCTACCTCCACCTGCACTCTAAAATAGTGAAGTGTAAGATAAATCAGACATAAAGACCGGGACTATTAGTGCTAGTCTTGCATATGCTTGTATACGCTGCTCAGACAGGCTCAAAAAGATATCAGGTACAGAGAGCAGATGAAAGAAAACAGGCAAGAACTAGTACAAACTACATGAAAATAGATATATTTTAAACTGAGAGAAGCAAACCAAGTGAGACTTGGGTTTATTGTCCTGTCTTTGGACTACAGAAGAATTAGAAAGGAAGGAAACAGAAGTTTTCCAAAACAAACAGAAGAGGGGTTTTTTATACATAACTGAAAAAAAGAAAATAACCTCTATCCACTTATAATTTATGAGTTCTACAAATTCTCCAAACAAAAGGAGAGGCGTTAACAAATAAGAAAGCATAAAATGTATCAGGAAGGCATATTTGCTGAAGGATTTTCTTATATCAGAAATATTTGACTCTACTAAACAGGAAGAAAACCACCATGAAGTTTACAAATGTCTCATCTGACTGGGTTCCACTAAGGCTTATTCTGCCAAGCTGCAACTTGCCATACAACACTGCAAACAAAGCTGTAGGTAGATAAAGCTTCAACTGGGAGCACCTCCTTCCCGCATCTCCATGGATTAGCTCTCCAGTACAAACCATGACAGGAATGACTGCCCCCAGAAAACGAGTCACCCTTCCAGAATGAATTTAAGTTAAAATAATTTTCTCTGACAAGAAAATTAAGACGACTTTCAGGGTTACAACAGTTTTTTTAGTACCCCAGAAAGCCAACTGAAATTAAGCATGACTGTCTTTATTAACAGAAAGGAAAGTTCACAGCTCTCAATCACCATTTGCAATCAAGCTGGAAAGCTTTTTCTCCTTTTAAAATATATAAGCTTTTAT